TAATAGGCAATAAAACGATATGCAACATTATTATTCCTCAATAAGTTGTTAATCACTTTGTAGTGAATTTATAGATGACTTGGATACTTTATATTTCGTTTGACAAGCGAGTATATGTTAAACTGGGACTGGAATGATAAAATAAAAAACTTCAACAAAGACTAATTTTTGCCCCGCTATATAATACTAACGAAGCCTTTGGTCATTTTCAAATTTATAGTTTCGTAAGTTACAATATTTAAGATAGGTTAAATTAGGTTGGTAATGGCGGCTTACCTAACCTAAATTGAAAGTTTTAAATAATTCATCTGATACGTAAGAATGGTGCTTAGGGGCTCGATTTTTACATGTTTGACATTATATAACTTGTGAATAAGTAAGCTCAGGCCAACGGCACTATCATTCAAATCTACTCGGAGCAAGACATCACAAGACTATTCTCCCGGACGAATTCACCAATAGTAACTGGAATCCCCCCTCCGCCCCCATGCCGAGGATATTTCTAAAGTTCATGAATGCATCTACCGTGCATTTTACTTAAACAGAGCAGTAAGGTCCTCTCCATCCCCAAAAACATAAAAATCAGTGACAATGTTAAAAATCTCAATATTAATAGGTATTAATGCCACTAGTTAAGATATGGGGCCATGAGCTATTGGCTAGACCCCCGTAAAGCCAATTCAACGTGTGCACTACTCAGGGCCATGACAGATAAGATAAGATAAGATAAGATTTCGTTCGGATTTTTAACCCCGGAGGGTTAGCCACCCAGGATAACCCAAGAAAGTCAGTGCGTCATCGAGGACTGTCTAACTTATTTCCATTGGGGTCCTTAATCTTGTCCCCCAGGATGCGACCCACACCAGTCGACTAACACCCAGGTACCTATTTGCTGCTAGGTGAACAGGACAATAGGTGTAAGGAAACGTGTCGGAATTTCCACCCGCCGGGAATCGAACCCGGGCCCTCCGTGTGTGAAGCGGGAGCTTTAGCCACCAGACCACCGGACGTAGATAAGATCAGATTCTACCAAGGCTGTAAAAAGAACAAGGGGTCATCGTTGAAAATTATTCCCAAATCAGGCATATCGATACAGAAAAAAAACTACTTCAACATATTTAAGGTAAAAAAAAAAAGTGGAATCAAGTGGTAGTGAAAGCACTGTACAGGGCTTAAAATTAGACACGACGTGACTATTTACGTCAATCGGTCGGGAGTTAAACGGCGACGCCAAGCATGAGCTTAGCTCCCCTCACCCAGCAGACTCGTAGATAATTACAGTCCAAAGGCGTAAAGCTGATTGAGCAGTAGTCGACTTGGCACAAGCGCGAGAGTTGGCACCACCGCCAGAGTATAAGCACGTGGATCCCACGCCATCACTAGTACACCAAATTATCACGACTAGTACACCCTGGCAACTTACCAATTATCCCTATGCATACTGTACTTTTTTTTCCAAAACATGCGCACTTGTATACAGAATCATCCAGTTGAAAAAAAAAAAATATTCACCAGGTGATCGAGGTGTGAGGTCATGAGTTGAATTTCAATCACTGCATCTGGAGACTGGAAGCGCTTATATAGAAAACAATTCGGATCTTTAACCCTAGAGGACTAGTATTCCAAGATAACCCAATAAAGTCAATTAGTGTGGCTTATTTCCACTGGGTTCTTTTGCCCACCGTCCCAGGATGCAACTCTCAGCATAAATGTTAAGCCCTTAATTGAACTAATCGTGCTAAGAGGTACCTACACACTTGATAAGTCTTTCTAAACTTTTATTCTTCCTATATTTGCTCGTTCCCTTGTCCAAAAAACGGGTGGAGGGCACAGTCTCTTCTCTCAATATAACAGTATACCCTGAAATCCTTGAAGAAATTCCTAGTTTTTAGTCTTGGAGACAAGGAGGGTGTGCCAGTACATGAACACTGATTGGCTGCTCCGTGGGGCGTGTGAGTGCTGTCAGCCAATAAGCAACAAGGACAAGGTTGCCGGCCATCTTGGTGGGAGAGGGGGAGGGTTTGAGCAAGGCGAAAATAGACCCTGATGCATGGTCGTCTGTGTAACATTTATTTCTTAATTCTATTGCATGGTGTAATACATTTATTATAACCACTTTCTTCAAACTTACATTAAATTTAATATACTGCATTTAAAGGCTATTTTAATTTTTAATGAGGGTGCAGACCCCACAAGGGTCAGGGATGAGGGGAGATAATCCAGTTTGATCCCATGGGAGGGGTAGCTCAATTTCCTGAATCAAGAACCCTTCAGCAGCACAAGGAACCCCTCCCTTTAAGGGTGTTTGATGACTATCCTTCTCAGTATTGTTGGTTCTTCGATTTTATTTGGTTTTTCATTTTCATGGAGTTTTTTCAACTGCTTTTCTTATCCCTAATATACGTTCCCACACTGAAATCCTTCATTTACATTTTACTATATATTCTTCAATGTCTGTTGTTTCCATTTTAATATCTATTCAAAATGGTGGTGCACCTGTTAAACATTAACATCTCTAAAAAAAACTGTATAAAACAAACATTAATCTTTAATATTAGATGGTTAAGACAAATGTGCAACATCTGGTTATCTTTATGTAGAAGTATCGCCATCCAGTGGGCTTCTATCAATACAGAATCGAGGACACTACATGACCTTCTTCAGGCTACTACAACTTAACCCATCCCTTTCGGTAGGGACCTTCTTCATCTGGGAAATCCCGCTACAGTGACTATGCCTTCGGTGCTACACGTCCCTTTTCCTTGACGCCTATATAAACGCCAGTCTCCTTGCCTTTGCTTCAGAAATCTTTCACTACCACGGCGTCTTCACACCAACTCCAAGGCTGAGGGACTAGATTACTCACCTTTTGTATATAGTTTTCTACTGTCTTCTAATTATGTCCTGTATTGATAAAGCCATGGATGGCGACGACGAAACGTCTACAATAAAAATAACCTGTTGTAGCACATGTCTTACTTCATTTTATTGGTATTGTTTACCTTTCTTGAATCCTTAATTTTTAGTGTATGAAAATCTTTCACCACCCAAAATAACCCCTTTCCCCCACTTTTTTTTTAATTGTTGCTCTTTTTCTGATCACTTCATAATTAAAGGCTTTAAACTAAGCGAATAAATTCCCAAAATACAAAAGTCTCCAAACAGTACACACACTTGATAAAGGTATTCTAAAGTGAATTTTTTTTTTTTATTAAAAAATCCCGCACTGAGATCCAATTAATGTGGCAACTTAAAAACCTAAAGATTATGTGTTCGAAAAAAGTACTACTTTAAAAAAACCTTTGCAGGCACCAAACAGCCCTGTGGAGGTACACAACAGAACATTTTTGGAAATGTTTTTTGTTGTTGATTATTATCAACACTGATCATAGGGAGTGAATTTTCAATGATTGAGGCAGATATTAGTTGGGGGGAAAAATGCCACCCAGAGTGCAAGGAGGGAATGGGGGGAAGTAGACGTGTGTATGATCTGACTGGAGTTGTTAAACTGTTGTCTTTCCAAGGTTTAAAGGAAAGGGAAATGTAAGATTATTCACTGAATGTTCCCTGTACTAAAGGTCAAACCGAACTAGGTTTTCTGTATTGCAAAGTTTTTCTTTATTTTTCAAGTTCTTTTTTTTTTTTTTTGCATTTGAAGCGAATAAATGTAGGATCTGTTCCTGTATTTGTTTCCTCAATATTAGTACGATTATTTATTTTTCATTTAAAAAAGTTGAGAAAATATCCCCTGTTCTGTTTTGGCCCTTAAAAATTCTCATTTTTAACATTAGTCCCGGTCTGCGTAGTGACGTAATGGAGTTTTTTTCCCCGCCTTGGATTTCTGGGGGTGGAACCAAAAAAGCCCCCCTGGGTGAACCAACCCTAGCGACGCCCCGCTTTTGGGGACACCCAACCTTCATCATGGGGGGAACCCTCCCATTGGTGAAAACCCAAATATAAATAGTCCCACATTAGTGGCTTTTTTTAGTTGGTGTTATAGTATTCGGTGGGGTGGGGGGGGGGGGGGGGGTTCTGACATCATGTAATGGCATCTTCAGCAGTCAAAAAAATTCCCACCCAAAATACACCATATTTTACCGTGGGGCAAAAGAAAAACAAGTTCCTCATTCTAACCCTGCCACTAAGTTTTCTTTCTCCAGATGCAGGGGGCAAATTACTTAGCAACCTGCACCAAAACTTTTCCCATGCCCCGTGAATAAACAAAAATTCATGTTTGGATGCTTTCCCTACTATTCTAAATAAGAGCATTCAAAAAACTGAAGTATTCCATGGTATTTTAAAATGAATTCGTACCATATACAGACGGGGGGTTTTCATGGTGGGGGTGTTCAGGTTGTTAAGGGCCACCCCGGCGAAAGCCGTTTTTTCCCCACCCCCTGGGAATTAGGGAGTTCTTAATCATGGAAGGATGTAGGGGGGCATAGCAGCCCCTTTTGGAGATGGAATAGGAGTCCAGAGGCCCCTGGTTAGAGCTGTTGCGGGGAAAGTGGGATGGCACCAATAAAGCTTGCCAATTTGTTCCAAAGCCTTAAGGTGAAGGACAGAAATCTCTTGAGGGAATCATGCCAGGCTCACCCATAAGAGGTAATTACAGGTGACTTGTGCCATACGGGCAAAGGGATTCATGGAAATACATGAGGCTGAGTGGAAAAAATTTTCCCGTAGTATCCCAGCTGGCTGAGACACCACCTACAGGCAGAAGTCAACCATCCGGGAGATGGTTGACTTCTGCTTGTAGGAAGGGTGTTGCTTTCCTATCACTAGAAACCCTCTCAAAAAACTGGATAAACTCTAATGCCAATTGAGACAAAATGGCAAGGCTACCCTGCCACTGCCAATCGATGACACCCCCCCATACTCCCAACATGTACTACCCTGGTTGAGAGGAAAAGGAGTGACAGTAGGGAGTAAGCAAGAGGCAGCTCAGTTAGTGTATATGCAGAGAACACTTTACTACCAAAAAACGGTGCACTACTTACCACCCTTGGTGGGGGTACGATGTAGGGAGTGCTGAGCACGGTAACCGCTGATCATTTCATAGGTTCCATCATCTCGTTTGACCGGGAAAGCGACCTCCAGGACATGGTGGCATGGTTCCATAATCTTTAGGATGCCTTTTGTCTTGTTTCTTTTCTCCTCCAGAGTAATACGGTCCTTCATCTCTTCAACCAGTTGGTCCTCAACTACCTGGTCAGAGGCAGAAACAAAAGGGGGTCAGTGATAGTGTTATTGAATGGCACCTCTTGATGATAGCTTATTCATTTTTAAGGGGGGCAGAGCACCCTTTCTGTTTGCACAAGACCATTACTAAAATTTTGGTAATAAAGAAACTTCAATTACTTAATACAATAGGCCCTAATTATTTTTATAATGCTATCCATACAGTGCATTTGTACTGTATACAGTGAAGTTTAATGTTTTTCATGAAAGCATACCCAAAGTAACTTGGGCATTGCAAGAAAAATTGTCATTTAACTAAATCAAGAGCCATGACCTGACTTACTGGCAGCCAGGGGTGAAAGAAATATTCAACCATCTCAAAGAAGGGCTGGTTCTTCAGCATCAGGGATGTACTGAAGGCGCTCAGGAATCTGGTGACGTTCATAGTCACCCTGCCAGCGTCTAGAGACTGTAGTGGCAGTAGGGACAGAGGCTCTAAGGAGGCCTCCTTGGGCTCCCCCAGCCTGAACCACTACCCTCACAATGCTCTTCCTGCTCCTCGAACATTCTGATAATTAAATCATATTATTTTCATATATAATGCTAAACCTGTAATAAACTGTATAAAAATTATCAATATAAATGGAGGCATATACAAAGATGCAGAGTACATAAAAAAAAAAACACTGGTCAGTATTAAACAGAAAAATATAATCATTAAAAGACTATACACTATTAAATAGTAAACCAGTTTCACAGTATTAGGGGGGTTAATGGGCTTATATATGATCTCTATCACAACATAATTTAATTAATTTAACCCTTCTCTTTGGGAAGGACCAACTTTCCATGGGGAATCCCGCCTACCGTGACTATGCCCTCGTCTGTTTACACCTGAGTTACTATATAAGCGCCAGGCTCCTTTCTTCTGCTTCAGAATCTCCAGACTATGGTGTTTCGCACCTACACCTAGGTTGAGGGACTGATTCCCTCATCTTCTGTACATAGTTCTACTGTCTTCAAGTTATGTCCTAGAATTTGTATTGATAAGGCCACTGGATGGGGGAAAACGTCTACAATAAAGATACCCAGATGTTGCACATGTGTCTTAATTTCACCCTAAACATATTATCCCTAAATTATAATTATTATAAACCATGGGGAGCGCTAAAACCATAGGATTATATAGCGGATGTGGCGGGGGGGGATGGAAGGCATTCAGGCCCAATTCAGGGGAACTGGAGCACAGATCCAATTCTCTAGATCAAGACCCCCTCACCAGAATCAAAGAACCTCCCTTGAGGGGTACGATAACACCCCTCCCAAAAAAATCACTGGCCACAAACACTGAGTATGTTCCTTAAGAAGTGAAAGGCCAGGGGTTTTACTTTTGACTAATAAAAAGTTTGAGTTGAACATAGTGAGTGTTTAGCTGAGGATGATATATATATATATTATATTATATATATATATATAATATATATATATATTATATATATATATATTTATTATATATTAAAATATAAACTGCAGGGGGTCTTATACATTAAGCAAAAATGAATAAAATATAATAAACATTTATAAATAACTTGGTAATGTGCACGTTATCAACTCAATACAGCCTTCATTGGAATAAATTATTATAATAATAAAAAAGAAGCGCTAAGCCACAATTCTATACAGCGAATTAAATAATAATTCATGTTAAGCGCTAAACTCAAGTGGGTCATTCAGCGGTACGTGGTGGAGGCTCAATCCCCCGTCTGAAAAGAGCGAGAAAACGCCCTTTCTATTTTGTTTCTCACCCGGATACCCAGCTTTCAACGGAGAACAATTATAAATGACTAACAAATTTAGAACAAATATATACTTTAGATTACAATATCAAACAAGATATTTCAATAATTACATACATGTGTGATTATACCAGGAGCAGCACCCAATACACTTCTAATGGCCACACGCAGACTGACACTAAGATGCTTCTTTCTCACAGGCCAGCTGGCCCAGGGTTGCCAAACCTGCCTCTTCTACGAAATTACTAAGCCAACTTCACCGGTTACCACGTCTCATGTTTGAGCTCTACTTTTAAAATACTTATATTGGGTTTTTAAAATTAATACAATGGGGGCTGTATTATCAGTTTTTTTTTAATAAAAAAATATAACGTTTTAAAAACATACTATGTATGCTTTTGAACACCCTGCACAGTATCTTAGTCCCATACAATGTCAGCTATGTTAGGTAAGACACATATGCAACAGTTAGGTATGTACGAATGGTATATAATACCGACAAGATGAGAGTAAGACACATATGCAACATCTGGGTATCTTTATCTGTACATAGTTCTACTGTCTTCAAGTTATGTCCTTGAATTTGTATTGATAAAGCCACTGAATAGAAACGTCTACAATAAAGATACCCAGATGTTGCATATGTGTCTTACTCTCAACAGTTAGGTATCTTTATTTCGAAACGTTTCGCCTACACAGTAGGCTTCTTCAGTCGAGTACAGAAAAGTTGATAGAAGCAGAAGAGACTTGAAGACGATGTAATCAGTCCATCACCCTTAAAGTTTTGAGGTGGTCAGTCCCTCAGTCTGGAGAAGAGCATTGTTCCATAGTATGAAACAATACAGCATAGGGCCGTAGACGTGGCTTATATACTGTAGTGAGGTGAGGTGAAGCAGGCGGAGGGGGGTCATAGTGGTACCATTCCACTAGTCGAAGTAGGGGCTTCGTCCAAAGTTGAACAAGTGTTGAAGAATTCTTTGTACAAGATCCCCTGATGCTGCAGTGTCTGACAGTTGTGAAAGAATGATTTGAAAAAAACCCACAAGTTGAAGATTGAGCACTTATGCAGCATATGGGAATTTTTTATTCAGGAAACGTTTCGCCCCCAGTGGCTTCATCAGTCCAATACAAAGAGGAAGGCGTAAGGAGAGGAGGAGTATGAGGTAATCAGTCCCTCAGCCTCAATCTGTCAGACACTGCAACACAAGGGTATCTTGGTACAGACCTACAATCCCAACTTCGAAACCTCTACTAGTGTGAGAACGGCTGGATTTGAGAGGGACCTGACCTCCCAAAATCTGAGTTCTTACCTCTTTAGTGACTACGTTCACCTCTTGGCGCTATATAAGGCTCCATCCTGTCACTTCATCTCCATATTGTTTCATTCTATGGAACATTCTATGGAACATTGTTTCATTCTATGGAACAATGCTCTTCTCCAGACTGAGGGACTGACCACCTCAAAACTTTAAGGGTGATGGAATGTTACACGTCTTCAAGTATTTTCTGCTTCTATCAACTTTTCTGTACTCGACTGAAGAAGCCTACTGTGTAGGCGAAACGTTTCAAAATAAAGATACTAACTGTTGCATATGTGTCTTACCTAACAACCTGTCGGTATTTTATACCATTTTAATGTTCAGGTCCAAGTCTCCTACCGGCTTAAGCCAATGCACCGACCCAGTCAGGTCAGGACACCCTTTACTTAAGGGGGAACACGGCAACCGACCTGGTAGCAAAGTTCGGTCCCCAATAACCCAACATATCAAAAAAATTTCCCGGATTTTTAACCCTAGGGGGATAGTATTCCAAGTTAACCCAATAAATTTAAATTTATGTGGTTTAATTTCCACGGGTTTTTTTGGCCCCCCCGCCCCCGGGTTTGGCAACTCTCACCCATAAATTTTAAAGGCCCTTAATTGAACTAATCGTGCTAAGAGGTCCCTTTACACACTTGAAAAAGCTTTCTAAACTTTTATTTTTCCCTATATTTGCTGGGTTCCCTTGCCCAAAAAAAAGGGGGGGAGGGCACAGTCTCTTCTCTCAATAAAAACAGTAAACCCTAAAATTTCCTTGAAAAAATTTCCCTATTTTTTAGTTTTGGGAGACAAGGGGGGTGTCCCAAAGTACATGAACACTGATTGGCTGCTCCGTGGGGCGTGTGAGTGCTGTCAGCCAATAAGAAAACAAGGACAAGTCTGCCGGAAATTTTGGGGGGGAGGGGGGGAAGGGGGTTGAGCAAAGGCGAAAATGGGGCCCCTGAGCATGGTCTTTCTTTTTCACATTATTTCTTAATTCATTGCATGTGTAACATTTTTTTTAAAACCACTTTTTTTTCAACTTACTTTAAATTAATAAACTCTTTAAAAAAGGGCTATTAATTTATAACTGGGGGTGCATGACCCCCCAAAGGGTCAGGGAAGGGGAGTTTAATCCATTTTTTGACCCAAAGGGAGGGGTAGCTCAAATTTCCAAAATTCAAAAACCCTTCCCCAGCAGCACCAAGGAACCCCCCCCTTTTTAAGGGTGTTTGATGAATACCTTCATGAGGGGTGGGTTCTCGATTTTTTTGGGTTTTTTTCCTTTTTTCATGGGTTTTTCAACTGCATTCTTATCCCAAAAATTTACGTTCCCACATGAAACCCTTCTTTTAAATTTTTACAAATCATATTCTTCAATTTTTCTGTAGTTTCCATTTAATTTCTATTCAAATGTTGTGCCCTTTTAAAACATTAACACTCAAAAAAAAATGTATAAAAACAAAACATTAATTTTTTAATTTTTGAAGGTTAAGACACATGTCCCAAATCGGGTTTAACTTTACTTTTGGGAATTTTCCCGGCCATCCAGTGGCTCTATCAATACGAAATCTGGACACCTAAAAGGGGCCCTTTCTTCACGGCTACTAAAAACTAACCCTTCCCTTTGGGTTTTGGACCTATTTCCCACTGGGAAATCCCCCCTACCATTGACTATGTTCGTCTGCTAAAACGCCCCTTTTTCCTTGACGCCTATATAAACCCCAGTCTCCTTGCCTTTGTTTTCAGAATTTTTACTCCCACGGCCCCTCTCAAAAACCAACCCAAAGGGATGGGGACTGTTTCCCCTCCCCTTTTTTGTAAATAGTTCAAACGGGTTTTCAAATTTATGTCCTGTTTTGAAAAAGCCACGGGTTTTGGCGAAACGTCTAAAATTTAAAAATAACCAGATGAAACCCAATTCTAACTTTCT